CTTCTCTCAAAAGTCAAGGGTCTAATAAATGTAGGATACATATTTTGTAAGAAATTCGAAGCGCATTGCCGTATATCCTTCGATTTTTCTTTTTTTTTTTTTTTTTTCTTTTTTATCTTTCTCTCGTCTTTAACGTAGGAGAAAAGGGAAGGGAATTGGAAAGAAGATGATGGAAGAAAGAGAAGAAGGAGAAGAAAAAGACGAAGATGAAGAAGGAGATGAACGTGACGCGACTTTTGAGAAGGAGCGCATCTTATGTCGGTAATTTCGTGTTGCTTACCTGTGCTACGAACGTCAAGTAGCAGTAGAGTATTTCCTCGAGTTATTTCTTTCCTAAGGCGAGAAAGAAAAGAAATTTTAAACCACCGACGTATATAAGCTCTCTTTCTTTTTCTCTCTCTCGCTCTCTCTCTCTCTCTCTCTCTCTCTTTCTCTCTCTTTCTCTTTCTTACTTTTGTTAAACATTTCAAAAGAGGTCTCGTACATCAGCGAGCCTGACTTTCTTTTTCCCTTTCCTTTTTTCCTTTTCTTCCGTCAACATTAATCCTTTTAAATCGAGTTAATGCATTTATTTATTAATTTTTTTATTCATCCGCAACACATCTTTATCACATTCATCGATATAAAGATATCGAGCGCTCGAGGGGGGTTTGCGTCCGGAATAATTCATGGCTAAGAGGGCTGGTTAGCATCTATAAGGTAAACAGACTTTATCGGCGATCTCGTCGAAGCTTAAACGAGCTTCTGCTTTTTCATAAGTCAAACAAAGATGGCGCTGTCAATATTCTCCTAGCTCTTTTCTCTTCTTTTACTTATCTCGAAGAATTCTTTAACTTTTGTCAGCCAGTATAATTAATATTTTAATATTTGTTATTTTTTCGTTTGAATAAATGTGAATAAGATAAAAAATGGCCGTTCAGAAAACGAGTCGCTCAGTAAGGTAAGTACCTGTACTTACGTGTTTTATTATACACGCACACACGTACACGCGCACACACACACACACACACACACACACACATTATATTATATTTATTGTGGATAAATTCGCGTGAACTGCAAAAGGATTTATTTTCTTTCGTAAGAGTCAAACTGGTAGTTGTAACGAGCGTGAGATCGTGCAAAATCGCGAAAGATTGGAATTCTCGAAAGGGTCGGTATGAGACTGAGGAACGAGAATAGGAGGGTTCGCTTAACGGACGACCGAGAAGAGGTGTGGAAGTGGAGGCGGTTGAGAGAGTTGGACTTAGAAAGGAGGAGTGAATCGCAGAAGGCAACGCGCCTGTAATTTGCGCTCCGCTTGATCATAACAATAGCTGTGGATTTCTTGGCATGCAGCGAACTACTGTGTTTGAATATGAACTCGTATAGTCACGCGATTTACAACTGACGTGTTCCAGTTCCGTGTTAGAAGTTTTGCCGTTCCTATCGCCATTCTTCCGATATGTTCGATGAACGCGACAAGCGATACAAGAGAATCAACCTAGAACAAACTTGTTTCAAATTTAAGCCTTCGACTTGGAGTTTGGTATCGTTTGTTTCATTCATACGAATGTTTTAATTTCCAATTCGCTTTTCGTTTATCCATTTACGAATAGATTTATTTCTTTCTCGATAACAATGCCTTTTTCCCTTCGATCTTTAATAATAATTGATTGAACAAAAGAATTATTTATATGAAATTCTTAGTTGCGCGGGTCACAGCGCGTCGTTAAATGTATGGGGTTGCCGCAGGATGAAAGTTGGGTCGCCCGAAGGTGGATATAGCTTTTGCCATTGGCTTGACGAGAGAATACGAACGTTTCCGGAAAAAGCCGAGGTACGCTTTAGCTCAGCCGTGGTCCATTCGCTCAACACATTCATCGTTTGGCGTGTTCGAGCGCAAGAGAGAGCGCGTGACGTATATAAAAAGGGTGCGTGTGCGCGCGCACGTGCGATTAAGGGAGAAAAAGAGAGGGAGAGAGAAAGAGAGAAAAAGTTTCGTCGAATTTCCATTCGTCAAAAGAGTGTGTGTGTGTGTGTGTGTGTATGCTGTGTGTGTATATGTACGCTGTGTGTGACTGTGTGTATGTGTGTGTGTGTGTGTGTGCGTGTGTGTGTGTGTGTGGGAGAGAGAGAGAGGGAGGGATACAAATCCACTTGCGTTCACTCGGTGTCATCGCGAAATTCTCGTTTACTCTTTCTTCTTTTTTCACATTCTTTTTTTTATCTTTTGATTCCTTTTGCGTTCGACATCCCTTGTGGTGTTATCGTGGTTCGTGCGAACGTCATCAAACGATAAGTGCCAACAACAACGACCTTACTCAGAGTCCAGTATCAACCGTCTGACGCTGCACGTTGCATAGATAAAGAGAGAGAGAGAGAGAGAGAGAGAGAGAGAGAGAGGGAAAAAGAGAGAATAGAAGGGAAAGAGAGGGAAACAGAGGGGAAAAAGATAGATAGGTAGATAAATAAATAGAAAAGGAAAGATATCGTACGATCGTGTCATGTTATTTTCTTCTTGTCTATCCCTTCACCTTCTGTGAAAACATGGTGCCGTGTATGTGTGTTTACTTGTGAAGGTGTTTTCGAAAGGGACGTCAAGTCTCTTTGTCAGAACGGTGTGACGAACGTAAGAGAACGGTTGTACGTGTATTCGAACGTCATAAGCATCAATTTCTCTATACTTCTTTTTTCCTTTTATCTCTATTTATCTCTATTTCTTCATATTTCTTTCTATTTCTCTCCTTCTATATATATATATATATATATATATATATATATATATATATATATATATACATATACATTATATACAAGCTACAATTCTTCTATTTTAGAGAGAGAAAATTCGATTCGAGACATAATCGCCGTAGATGAAAATGACGATAAACCTTTTAATTGAAATTTTCCGCTTTAATTCCTTTTTACCGTGATTGACCTCAGAACTTTAAATCAAAGTCAACTCTTTGATTTTCATTGATAGTATTGAATGTTCTTTATAAGATTCATATATGTAAATATGGAAAATTCATTTTGTTTTTTTAATAAAAATATTCATTAGGTATCCCATTCAAATTCATAATGCGTAAATCATATTATCATTTACTTAATTGTTAATTGAAATCTATAAAGAAAGTAATTTTTATTTAATCATTGATTTATCATGGATTATGATGATATTTTAAATAAATCATTAAAATAAATAGGATTGATGAAATTTGACGAGTTTATTGACGCGATCGGGAATACTTTTAAGTTGAAACAATTTATATCAAAGTTATAAGTCGATAAGTACCTTACAATTTGTGCTTTACCGAGTTCATTACTCTTGGCAGAAGATCAATGAAATTTTCAACAGTTTATATCCTTCTCTCTTATTATCTCTTTTTTCTTTTTTCTCCCTCTTTGTCTCTCTCGTTTCCCATTTCTCTCTTTGTTAATAGTCCATCAAACGAGAGTGTTTTAACGAGCGGTCGATGTCGGATGTTTACATTCTCTTTATCCTCGGTTTATTGATTTACCATTGGCATTCGAATGATCTACCATTTATTTTCCTATAAAAAAAAAAAAAAAACAATTTTTTTCTCTTTACCGCGCACGTTTATTATTTCAGAAATACGTATATTTGTTGTATTACATCTCTGAAGATTTTATGATAATATTTACGATTTCTCGATGAAAAAAATTTCTATTTTTTCTACGTACGATCGTTTGTCTTATTTAATAAGTAATTTTCATTTATTTATTCATTATTTCCCATATACGTATTGAACGCAAAGAAAATTTATTCCACTCTTGACGATAGATTTATTTCAGAACGTGCATTGTAAAGAATTACGTGAGCCGAATATCGTTAAAATACCCATTGAAAGTTATTCGTGGTTGGTAATCAGCGATAACCCGTTATAAAGGGCAATTGGGAACAGAAAGAGGTAGATAGAGAGAGAAAGAGAGAGAGAGAGAGAGAGAGAGAGAGAGAGACAGAAATGGTACACATGGGAATTGCGGGTCAGTACTTCGCGGAATTGGAGCCAAATTTTGATGGCCCACCGAAAGCCATCGATCCAGCTGTGCGTGCTCGAAAGCTAGTAAGTAAACGATGATTCAGATAGTTCGTCAAAGATATGTGTACGTACTTGTGTGTGTGTATATATATATATACATATATATATATATGTATATGTAGATAGGTATATATGTATCGTTATATGTTCCACCTATACCTATGCAAAAACTAGCAAAACCGCTTATTTGTTCTTTCTAGTAAAAATTCATATTCTCTATAAATTATGTTTAAAAGGAAAAAAACAAAAGAAAAAAGAAGAAAAGCAAAAAGGAGAGAGAAAGTGCACATTATCATTTTTTGTAAGGCAACATAAAGCAATGTATCTTCGTAATTTACACGTGGACTATATGCTCCTTGTATAATGTCCAAATGTATAGATAATGAAAACGAACGAGATAAGTAATTTCGAAAAGGCTAAAAATGCAGCTGGTTAATGTTTACGAACGTGTATATCACGGAATTAAGCACGAAAAATAGTTTAAATTGTATATTATTTACATTGGACGATTATAGCATATTAAAAGTGATAAAAGGATATATATCGTGAAAATATTGTTAGCCATAATTTCATTGATAGAAACGAAATAAAGATAGTATCTTTTTGTACGTAGAAATATTTTTTTTTCTTTTTTTTTTTTTTTTTTTTTGGTCACCGTTAAAATACCCGTAAAGAGAAAGGGTGAAATCGTTAGTTGTTCACGGTGTTTACGTGTTACAATTTTAAATCGATCGGCATTCAACGTCGTTTTAAACGAGCGAAAATGATGATTAATATGAGCGACAAGTCATTTGTTCGCATATGCAATTGCGCGAGATATAACAGCGAACGGAATTTAATGTCGGTAAACCATTATTGACGTTTCATAAGCTTCTTTGAAATATGGTATTGTATCGCGCCATGTAAAGTATGTTTCGATTATCTTTGGCTTTGAACTCATGAACGTAGTATCGCTGACACAGATGTTCAATGTCTTCAATCAACTATTTCCACAGGTAATTTTATCTAATATTATCAGTGGTCTATTATGTGTATACAACTTAGGTATAACGATTAATTCGTATAGTTTGAAATGTTAAGTGGTAATGAAAAATAACGTATAGAAACATATCGACTCTTTGAAATCGTAGAATTCTCTCTTTGTACGACAGTGCAGCTTCCTTTACTTAGAGCCGGTCGATACGGGGATACACCTTAATACTATCTATACGTATATATCTATACCTCTGGTTTCTAGCACGAGAAGGTGCAACAACGTGTTCCTCTATTCGACGTTTCTGGAATATTTCTACGAAAGAATGAGTCAAATGCTTCCGTGTATGTGCTTGGTATGTAATTCGTACGTGTTGGTACGTAGATAGAAAATAAATATTGAAAGAAAAGTTTAGATTTTTTTCTTTTTTTCTTTCTTTCTTTTTTCTTTTTTTTTCTTTTTTTTTTTTAATTTCTTCCATATAATCGATATTCGAATGATTTTAATCGAAGAGGAAACGTTCGGATACTGACACTTTTATTTTTTTTTCTTCTATAAACGTACATGCATACGTATGTATGTGTATATACGTACATGTCTGTATGTATATATATATATATATGTATATACCTGTTGGTAGCTATTTTATATTTTTTCCCTCTTTATTTCAACGAGAATAAAATCATGGTTCCCGACACATTGTTTTACCGTATCATTTAACGAGTGTGCCGATTAAAGGGAAGATTTCCTCGGATTATCGTAACTGTGCGGAAAAAGAGTTCGCCGGCTGAAAATGCATTAAAAAGTTTCCACATATTTATATGCCTCTACTGTGTAGGTGTGTTTGTGCGTGTGTGCGCGCGCGCGCGCGCGTATAACCATAAGATGAAAAGGGGGAATAACATTAATCTCACTTTATACCGCGTAAGTGGCGACGCTTATCTTCTTTTCGAGATCGATTAAATATCAAAGCGCTTAAGTAAAAGAATCTCTTTTGAGCAACGAAGGAAGAAGAATCCTTTTTTTTTTTTTCTTCCTTGGAGCGTATAAATGAAACTGTATGTGATATTTTATGAGGACATTGAGATAATACGAAAAGGAAAATATTCCTTTGTCGACGGATATGATAAAAGTAAATCACTATTGTCGTATTATATTGCATATTTCTTTTTGTTGTTGTCCATAAGATTTATAATACGGTATAAGTATAAGGGATAAAGTGATATCAAGAGAAGAAGAATTTGTATTGTCCGGAGGAAAATAGATATGCAATTCATTCTCTAATCGACTCACATGACGGTATTGAATTTGTTGATGGAAATAAATCTGCGTTCTTTTCTATTTCTTTTTATTCCTTTTAATGGTTAAAAAAAAAAAAAAAGAAAAAGAAAAAACACAAAAAAACTTAAAAAAGCTTAAAAAAAAAAAAGAAAAAAATCCGTGCTATTTCGGCGATCTCAAAAAGATTGCACTCATTGCCGAGAATTGGAAAAGTCCGAGAGTACCATTTCGAGACAAGTGGTCCCTGTCGCCCGAATGCAAGCGGCTTATCGTCTTCATCCGTAGAAGGATGATGACGGTTCGCTTCAAGAGGATTGAATTCGATTTTCGTAAAGAAAAAAGGGAGAGAGAAGAGGATTCTCCTTGCAATTGGAGGAGACTCTAGTGATGACGCCTATATAGCCTATGTCGTACTCTCTGTCTGAGTTGCGTCTCTGGTCTCTCCCTCGTGACACCTTGAAGGATAGAAAAGAAAAAGAAAAGAAAACAAAACAAACAAGAAAAAAGAAAAAAAAAAAAAGAAAAAATAATATTTATGTCCCCTCGACTATCGTCTTACTCCTTCAACTTTATTTTTTTCTTTTTCTTTTTTTTCTCTTTCTTTCCTTTCTTTCTTCATGGATTTTTCCGTCTCTGTTACACGTTTAAAGCTAGTCGACGAGCGAAGGTAGAGCACTCGAAAGGAGTGCTCTTGACACCCCGTTCTGCGTAATACACCTTGATACTACTTACTACACTATACCTCGTTCTACATATGTATACTCCAAGTCACTCGTATATACTTATCGAACGAGTTTCGAGTAGGTATACCTAACTGCGTGCCTACGTACGTATACGTTAAGTAAACATACTTAATTACGGTGATTCTAAGTATCGTGATCGATAAGGAAAATTTTCTTCGTGGTTTATTATCGCGGACGACTGCCTTTTCATTTTCCTTCGTTCGACTTATCCCGAATGTATTTATCTCGTAGGAAAGTAAGATAAATCTCTTTTATCGTGATAAATCTCTTTTTATTCGTGAACGAATAAAAGTGCAGAAAGAATGTTGAGGGGGGGGAAGGGAAGAGAAATTATCAAGGTTTTTATTGGGAGGTAAATTATCGATTAAAAATATTAATAGCTATTTGTGTTTCGCGCTTTATAATAAAGTTCGCGTTGAATGTCGCCGAAAGGGTGGGCGTTTCAATCTATTGGAAAATTTATTGAAAGAGTGCAATTTTTATTTCGTATCTGAAAATTAAAGAAAAAGAAAAAAAATCATTCTTCTAAATGGAAATAAAAAAGGGAATGGGATTGTTTGTCACAAATGGATATTTTTGTTTCTTTTTTTATACGGGAACAAATATAGATACAGATCATTTTTGATTTTATTAAATTTATTTTGAGCTCTGTCAGATGCAAAAGAGAAAAAAGAGGAAGAAGAAAAAAAAGAAAAAAAAGAGAAACAGAATTCAGTAGTCGAAAAAAAACTATACACACATATATATATATATATATACCGATATTTTTGGATATATGTTATTATTAACTTTACGATTGTTCCGCAGGTGGGCATGGAAAGAAGAGACATGATCTTAACAGCAGTATTTGGAACAGTCGGAGCTTTAGCAGTGATCGTTGCTTTGGGTTTGGCAGTGTGGTTCTATCTTCGTGCGAGAAAATCGAAACAGCGCGATGACGATCTCGAGGATCCGAATGAGCACAGCGACGGTGGTACTGGCCATCCAACGCAGTCAACGAAAAAGAACGGTTTCTTAAATTTGAAGACATGTCTTATCAGCACAAAAACCCTTGGGTAAGCTATCTCTTTCTTTTTCTTTTTCTTTCTCTCTCTCTTTCTCTCTCTATCTCTTTCCTTCGCCTGTCTACCTTTTTCGTGAGAAACTCGTTTCTCTAATCTTCTTTTAATTCATAGAAAATTAGGAAGGTCGAGGCCGAAGACGAGGGCTGTCAACGTGGCCTCGTTTCACGACTCGCGGAAATGATTACATCGTTATCAGACTCTCAGTCACTCTTTGCACCCAAATTTTTATTAATCACTTTTTGTTCATTAAGGTTTATGACACCCAGGGACGAGTTCCTTCCTCGTTTTTTATTCAATGTTAAATGAAAATTAAATTTCTATAGACCCAAGTTATATAACGTCGAGCAAAGCATAAATGAGATATCGAGTATCTCGTTAGAAGTATCTGATTAGAAAGGGATGTGTTTATGCGCGTAGGAGACTTCGTTAATGAATTATCAATTTTTACGTAATAATTGTTTTATTCGTCGTAAGAAGACGATAAAATTTCTAATTGATTTCATTATTATTTTAACGACAAAGAAATACAATAATTTTAACTTTTGAAGTAAAACGAAACAAAATAAAAAAATAAAATCAAAGTATCATTATTCGCAGTTGTTAACTAAACTCAGTGGATAAAAGTCAATGTTACTGCGTAGTAAGTTACCGACTGTGTTTGAGTAAAGAGTTATCGGTAAATCGTAACTTTCTACATTGCCGACGATAGGATAAAAATTTCTTCCTGGTTGATAACTCATAGAGATGATTTTGTCCTTGGTAAAAGGACTTTTTCAAGAAATCTGCATTTACTTGGAGGGACCTATCTTTTCCTTCCTCAGTAATACCATTAATTAGAAATATTTTTTTTTTTTTAAATATCTACGAATGAGATGCAAGTAAGAGTGATTTTGCATAAAGAAATTCGTAAATTTTGAATGAAAAAAATAAAAAAAATGCGATTGTTAAGATATAATACTAGGCGTTATGATAGGTCATTGAACTTGCTTTGATACAGAATATCTTAAGAAAAATCTATAATTTTATTTCAAAAATAAAATAAAAAAAATTCAATGATAATATCAATATCGTTCGAAGCACAAAATTAGATATTTAATTAAAATTTAAACCTTTCTTGCAACATAATACGTAAAACTATCGTATCTCTTTTTATCCTGAATGATTCAACGTGATAAAAAATTAATTGGACTATTAAGTGGCATCTCTTTTACCGTGAACGAATGCGTCTTCCGTATCCGTGAACAACTTCGTTCGTTGATTCAATCACATTCTTCCCTTTGATTGGATTTTATTCAATTTACACCTTCTTTTATGTTTCTATCTTTCTTTCTCTTTCACGAAGACTCTTTTACTGGCATCGCAGTAAATACTATCGCGTCAAGTTTTTCAAATGTTTTCCTCGTATCGTCTTTGTTCTCATTTTTCTTGGAAAAACAAGCACCATTCGACTCCTTGTTGTCAGAAAATTTCACTTTGAAAAACATACGAAATTTAACCTTGATCCTGAATATTTAGGTTAATTTGATAGAATCGTATCGAAGGATAAGGACAAATAAAAAGCATCGACGGATATAACTTTGATGCACGTTGCATTTACTCGAAGGAGAATCGTTTCGCTGTACTTCCCTGTATTTCCCAAAGGATCTGAAAATTTATCGAAAGATAGGCATGTATGGTTTTCCCGTGTCCTTAAAATCCATCCTTGAAATTTACCTTCTAATCCTTTTATTCTCGATATACGCGTCGCATTATCCACTTTTTTTCGTTTACCTACCACATGGATTTACTCTCCTAACACTTTTATAGCTTTCACCCTTATCGTTTAATTCTTTTACCAATGAAAGAACGAAACGATACGATATATTATTTACGATATATTATATATATATATATATATATATATATATATATATATATATATATGTATATGTGTGTACGAACGATTGTTTAAAGTGTAGGATGTCCACCAAGGGATATACGATAAATAAAACTACCCTTATCGCATTACCGTTAGATGCGTTCTGGAAAAAGAGAACATTTTTTTTCTTCCTTTTGTCCCTTCGTTCTCTACTACTATTTTTTTCTTTTTTATTTTTTTCTATTATTCCTTTTTGTTTTCTTCATTACGCCGACCGCTTATCTTTCACATTTTTTATACAGCCCGTCATAGATAATTTGTGAATCGAACATTTTCTCTTCCAGTAACACTGGCAGCAATGGAGAGAGAGAGAGAGAGAGAGAGAGAGAGAGAGAGAGAGAGAGAGAATGCTCGAGGAGAAAGAATCTCCTCTCCTTTCGTTCTATGGTGATGGAACACAACAAGAGAAAAATCCATTATGGAGCGAGGTCTTCACAATGCTTGTCCCCCACCTCATTTTTTCCTTTGCCTCATTTCGTTCGCATTTATTTCACAATTGCATTTAAACTATCCCCATCTCCCCCTCCCCCCCCCTCCCACCGCATTGACTGTTCGTGAAACATCCCAAAGAATTTTTTTCTTTTTCCTTCTCTCTCTTTCTTCTCTTTTAGTCTGGCAAGTCGCTCTTTCAGAATTATAATATCCAAAAATACATCAGAAGTACGTTTGCCCATGACAAATAGTCTTCGTGTATCAGAAAGTCTTTCTTCTTTTTTTTTTCTTTTTTTTATTTTTCTTTTTTTTTTTTGAATTCAAAATTATAGATCTGTGTCGTCTTGAATTATGCAATGAAACTTGATTTCCTTCATTTTATATATCTCTTTCATTTGTTCATGCTTCTCACGGTGATCGATTGATATTTTTTTTTTCCAGATTTTTCTCATCCTCTTCTCTTTTCCTCGTTTTCTCTTTTTTTTTTTCTTCTTTTTCTTTTTTTATTTCATTTTATTTTTCCCTTTAGAACAACCCCCTTCTTTAAAATTCAGCACACGAAAACGTTCTTCCAAGTTTTCTGCTTTAACCGTCGAGAAGGACGTGGTCTCGTACGCTAGCATATCGTCGAGAGAACGAAAGAGTGGGGGAGAGAATGGGAGAGGAAGAGAGAGAGAGAGAGAGAGAGAGAGAGAATGATCACGAGATATTCCACGACTTGAGGTGAAAACAATGGAAGCAGAAATAGAAAACTGTCTGTCAATGACCACCACAATCGCGCTTACTCGCGTGTGCTCTCGACGCTTTGAACGTGTACACACATGGAGACATCTTTCAAGATTTTTCTCTCCCTGTCTGTCTCTTTCTAACTTCAATCTTTTGTCAGTACTTTCTCTCTCTCTTTCTCTCTCTCTCTCTCTCTCTCTCTCTCTCTCTCTCTCTCTCTCTCTCTCTCTCTCTGTCTATCTATCTACCGCCACCTCTTATAGCACTTCACTGTTCCCGCCATTTCTAAATTTTTCTCATGACTTTGCTTCCTGCGACATGTCGGAATTCACGCGAATAATATTTTTCGATAGTCAGCTGAAAACTATGTGTGCCACGATTCATAAAACTTCTCTTTTTTTTTCCTTCTTCTTCTTCTTCTCTCTTTTCACGAAGATTAATGAAATAACTTTTGTAAATGACTTCATCTCCCGTTGTCCTCCATCAATTGTATGTTGACAATTCTGATATACGTGGTAGTACATGTAAGTATGATTGTACTATGCAATTACAAAGTTGCATTGAAACACAGAGAAGCCATTTCTCGGTATAAGAAGGTGAGAGAGAGAGAGAGAGAGAGAGAGAGAGAGAGAGAGAGAGAGAGGGCTACTAACTCTTGGTCATAAACAAGCCTGTAATCTCAAACTTTCCCAATATTATCGTAAGTAATTAGACCATCGCTTCGGGTGTCGACAAGATTTCTTAAACGATTACTGCTTCCTCTAGCGAAGCCATTCAAATATTTCGTAATTATAAACTGTGGTGATAGCTCGCGGCTTTATTCGCGAGGCTTTTGCCCGGAGATGCGAAACAGCGTTGGTGCTTTTAAAATAATAACGTGGAGAGTTGTGAGAGCAAAGATAATACAAATAAATAAAAAGGAAAAAAAGAAAAAAAAAGAAAAAACAAGAGAAACAAAAACAATTGTCAACGATATGACACAAGTTGAAATCCTTTCGTTCGTTCGTTCGTTCGTTTGATTTTCTATATCTTTTTGTATAAACAAGTGTTGAAAAAGTTTCGTTTTTGGCATTGAGTGAGTAACGAAAGAGATAACCAGACAAATAGGTGGTGTAGATAGGTGATATATATATGTATATATATATATATTTCTTTTTTTTTTTTTCAATAATTTTATTTATATACCTTATCGTTGCTTTGAAAATTATCGCCAGAAGTATTTTTATCAGGAACGTCCGTCATTCATAGAGAATGAAAATCTTGACAATGGCACATGTTTAATGTTTGGATACATACTGTCAAGCAGGCCATTTTCCAGCGGAACGAGCGAAATGATTATGTATTTAATGTCACTCAATGGAAAATAAGTTTCTTTCTCTCTTCTCTCTCTCTCTCTCTCTCTCTCTCTCTTTCACTTTTGTTTCTTTCTCTTGTACATCTTTTTTTTCTCACTTACTCTGACCCAAGCCACCCTATTCTCGTGAATTTCCCGATTACCCGGACTTCCACTTTCGCAAAGTTTCCTATTAAAGAAGGATGCTAGCCAGAACATTGTTGGACAAAACATACCACACAACTTTAGATTCGATCTAACCAAGGAATTATTTAATTTTAACCATTATACTTTGCTATGAGAAAATTTTGAGTTTGCCTATCTAGGATAGACGTTAAAAGAGACTAAAAGAATTCTAGAATGCCGCAGTAACATTGCCCAGATGCGACATCTCTTTGGCAACTTTCCAAACCTTTCTCTCCTTCTCACTCTCGATTTTTCTCACCCTCTCCCTTTCTCTCTCTCGATTTTTCTCACCCTCTCCCTTTCTCTCTCACTCCCTCTCTCTCTCTTTCTTTCTCTCTCTCTCTCTCTCTCTCTCTCTCTCTCTCTCTCTCTCTCTCTTTGTCATTTTCTTTCTCT